TAATTTCTTGTGCTCCTGTGTCAAAGGTGTTATTATCTGAATCAAGCACAAACCTTTACCAGACTCTTTTTAAAGCAAGAGATGGAAATGGAAATGGAAAGGGAAACTCACCTTTTGAAGATAAAATAGCCAACATTTATTTAGTAAGCACTGGTAGTGCGATAAACCTTGGAAGTATTAATGTAAATTGTAATGTCATATGTAGTATTTTATAAATAACAGAAATAAAACATGTACATATATAAGAAAGAACTGCATGATTCCTTGACATTATATAATCAGCATTAACTCAGCCAACTCTGAGTGTCTTATGGGTGTTACATGTAAAGTATTTTTTCCCTCTGGTTTTATTCTACATATCACTGTTTGTATAATTTCAGCGGGGGCTTCATGGCTTTATGAGTGGTGAATTTTAATAGGTCTAGTTGAGGAAATATAATGGAAGCAGGCAGATAATTAGTACACTGTTACATATAACCTTTATTAATTTTAACCGAAGGTATAGTTCTACTCTGAAAAGTGACTGTGAAAATGGGTGTGTGGGATGACATATTTATCATGTCCCATGATTCGGTTCTGCTAAGCACTTCTCAGGATAATCTTAGCACCCACAGAACTGGAATACAGGCAGTCCCCGGGTTACGTACAAGATAGGGACTGTAGGTTTGTTCTTAAGTTGAATCTGTATGTAAGTCGGAACTGGCGTCCAGATTCAGACACTGCTGAAACTGACCGCCAGTTCTGACTGACATACAGAATCAACTTAAGAACCCCAGGCGTCCCCAAGTCAGCTGCTGCTGAAACTGATCAGCAGCTGATTCCAGGAAGCCCGGGGCAGAGCAACTCTGCCTGGGGCTTTGTAGGTTTGTTCTTAAGTTGAATCTGTATGTAAGTCGGAACTGGCGTCCAGATTCAGACACTGCTGAAACTGACCGCCAGTTCTGACTGACATACAGAATCAACTTAAGAACCCCAGGCGTCCCCAAGTCAGCTGCTGCTGAAACTGATCAGCAGCTGATTCCAGGAAGCCCGGGGCAGAGCAACTCTGCCTGGGGCTTCCTGTAGTCAGCGCTGGTCAGTTTCAGCAGAAGCTGACTTGGGGACGCCTGGGGCAGAGCAGCTGGGGTGCT